AACTTGATAATAATTATTTTAAATATTTTATGTAATCGGCAATCTGAGCAACTTCGCTCTTTTACACAGGGCAACGAACCCGCCCTCCGACACATAAACACTAACATTGTTTGTGTGTTGGTTCCTAATCTTAGAGTTTCCTTGGTACAGATAATATTCTTAGCCGATTGTTACCACCACCAATTAACCGGGGTTATACTCAAAGAAAGGGAAGTCGTAGTGCTAAAGAATCAGTAGATTTTACAAAAAAAAACAACAAATAACGTTGAGCGGCAAATACGAGAGTTGATTCCATTAACTACTACTATTTCTGGGAAAGAAGTATCTATTAAATATGATTTGAGTTTGACGATGATCGAAACTAAAGTTTGTAATTTAATAACTGGTACAACATCCACGATGCGTTGCTATTTATGTAATTGTACATCTAGTCAATTTGACGATATGGATAAAATGTTAGAACAGAAAATTGAAGAAGCTCATTCACAATTTGGCCTGTCAACTTTACGTTGTTGGATTCGATGCTTTGAGTTTTAATTACATTTATCTTACAAACTTGACATTGGAAAATGGCAAGCTCGAACAAAAGAAGAAAAAGAATCACTGTCAAAAAAAAAGTAATATGCAAGCTGCTTTCAAAAAAGAATTAGGCTTAACTGTTGACAAACCAAAAGCCGATAGTATACATTCAAACGCCAGAAATACGGCTCGAGGTTTTTTTGAGTACTGTCAAAAATCTGCAAAAATAACAGGAATTGATCAAGATATCATACATCAATTTAATATTATTTTACAAACTATCGCCTGCACTCATGGTATACACGAAGAAACTTTCCGCGAGTATGCTGTCAAATTAGCAAGAGATATTCTACAAAAATATCCCTGGTATATCATGCCCACATTACTTCACAAACTTTTGATTCATGGCCCAATAATTATAAAATATTCAGTGTTGCCTATTAGTCAAACGTCTGAAGATGCACAGGAAGCCTGCAACAAATTTTTTAAAATTTATCGCGCAAATTTTGCAAGAAAACATTATTATCAAAAGACGATAGAGGATTTCTTTAAACGATTGTTGATTGCATCTGATCCACAAATATCTAGTTGCCAAAAATTACCTTTAAAACCACTTAAATCTTTATCTAAAAGTTGTATAAATTTGCTAGCACCTCTAAATGTGAATAATAGAATAGAAAATGAACAATCTTATGACAATTCTTCCGCTTCTGAAATAGACATGGATGAAGATGACAGTGATTGATATGAGATAGGCAATGAAAATTTTTTTTTGTAATATTTAATAAATTATACATATTTTATTAACTCAAATTGAATACTGCACTTCTAAACTAAAAATTTGTAAATTACTCTTTGATTTCAATAAAAATATATCAATACATGAAAAAAAAAATGTTTTTTCGTTATGTAACATCACCATATTGCTTTTTACCATTTTGAATTTGTTAATTTTTTATAAATTTTCAGCTACTTAGCATAAAAATCTCAAAAAAAAATTTTTGTTCAATTTTCATAGTTCTGTGATTTTTATAAGTTTTTTCATATGACATGACGCCATATTAGGTCGGCCATTTGGGATTCACTATTTCTGATAACAGATTTATGATAAACGACTCTAAAAACCCCTATATACCAATTTACAGATCGTTATAAGTTATAGATCATCATCAAATTCGTATTCAGCGACTACAAAAACCTTTAATTTGACATGCATCTCGATTATGTTAAATAATATACGCTATATTACACGAGGGGGTAGTGAATAGGGGAGATAGGGGGTGGCTTTTCAAGTTTTTAATATAAATTTGGAATCAGCGACTACGAAAATCTATGCATTGACATGCATCTTAATTACGTTGAATAATATACGTTATTTCACGCGAGGGGGTAGTCAATAGGGGAGGAAAGGGGTGGCTTCAAATTTTTAATATCAAATTCGTAATCAGCGACCTTAAACATCCTCAAGTGAGAAATTTTAAATCAATTACTTGATTTTTCAACTTTTGGCCACACAAACCGGCCTTCGGCCGCACTGTGCGTCGCTTTTGCCAAACCCTGAGCTAAAATAAGGTGCACATAGCTCGCCTCCATGGCTTATTTTTGCAGGTGAGATTAAGCGCATGCAGCCCGTCTCTTTCGCCGATCTCTGCAGCTAAAATAAGGCGCACACAGCTCGTTTCTTTCACTGATCTTTGTAGCAAAGATCAAGCGCACGCAGCCCGTCTCTTTCGCCAATCTCTGAGCTAAAATAAAGCGTACATAGCCCGTCTCTTCCACCGATCTCTGCACCAATGATCAAGCGCATGCAGCCCGTCTCTTTCGCCGATCTCTGAGCTTAAGTAAGGCGCACGTAGCTCATCTCTTTCGCTGATTTTTGCAGCTGGAATCGAGCATATGTGGCCTCTCTCTTTCCCTTTTCTCTGCAGCAAAGATTTAGCGCATACAGATCATTCGTCTTGCCGATCTCTGCTGCTTGAAGCTTTTGTTAATTATCTTTGAGACCAAATAGTAAGTGTCTTAATTTACTTTGTCTTTGAAATTTTTTCGTTATGATTTCTGAGGCAATCGAGTATGCGACCAAGGTTATTTGGTAATTAGCATTTTTGTTAATTATCGTCGAATCTGTCTGTTTTGCTGATCTCTGCAGCAGAGATGGATTACGTACGGCCTAACTGGGCTGCTGAACTCTGTAGCAGATATGGAAGACATACGGCCTGACTGTGCTGCCGAACTCTAATGCTTGGAGCTTTTTTTAATTGACTCCGAGCTTTTCTTAATTGTACACAGTAAGCACCGTAGGTTACTTGAAAATTGGTGCTTTTATTGATTACCATCTTACCTGTCTGTTTTGCCGAACTTTGCAGCAAAGATGTATCGCATACACCCTGTCTGTTTTTCTAATCTCTGCTGCATGGAGCTTTTGTTAATCGGCTTCCAGCGTAAAAAGTAAGTGCCCCGTATGGTTTTGTGGTCCGAGCTATTGTTAATTATCTAGCAATATGGAAAGTAAGTGCCATGGGTTATTAGCTGGTTGGCACGCTTAATAAGGGATTCAGTATCGAAAGAGAGGTGCATTGGGTCAGATGGGATTTGTTATTAATGTTTTAATAACTTTCTAATTCCTGTGTATTGAAAGAGAGGCGCTTTTGGTTAGTTGGGGTTAATCATTTATGTTTAAATAATTTTTTAATAACTGCCTTTTGAATGAAAGTCGCATTGAGCTGCTGAGGATGACTTATGTTTGCTTATATTATTTATCAGCTCTGTTAACTTTATAGACAGGCATATTGGTTCAATGGTAATTAGTTTCTTGGGTTAAAATAGCTATTGTTAATGAATAAAACATTTTGTTTGGAGTGGTGTTTTTTGCGGCCTTGCCCATGTAGCTAATTTTATTTCTCCGCCATTTTGGTAGTTACTTTTGGGAGCGCTGCTTAGAGCTTTTTGTAGAACAAGCCTTATTTTTTCAAATAGTCCGCCGTACGCCTCACCAACCAGCGAGAGGCACTACTCTCAACCAACTTCAGTATGGTAGGAGGGTTTGCATGTTCCCGATACACGTATAAATATATTAACACACTTAAGTTTAATAAACAAACATTAATTATTATTTTATTTTGAGGTCTGTAAAAATACAGTTTTTGACCAGCCCAGAAGCTGTCTTTGGTCATTGCTTTCATCAAAGAGTCAATTATGAAGATCCAAACATGAATGTGGGTATGCCAATTTTTTCAATCAATGGAAATCATGATGATCCAAGTATGTTGAATACAGTGAATATTTTTAGCTAATTAGATGAAATAAAAAAAATAAGTAAAATGAAAAATTATAGGTTTTGGAGCCGTTGGATCAATGGATGTTCTTTCTGCCACAGGGCTTATTAATTACTTTGGAAAATGGACAGATGTAACTAATGTTTCAATCCCTCCCTTGTACCTTCGAAAAGGTATTACAACCGTGGCACTTTATGGTTTAGGTTATATGAATGACCAAAGGTTGTCTCGATTGATGAGAAACGATAAGGTAATATTAATGTCATAATATTGATACTAATTTGTCGTATTAAGCAGTGGCGAGGAAAGAAGTGAGCAAAATACACGTTGCAACACATCACAAACTCTTTTCATAGGGTTTGCACTTTATATGAGAAAACTTATTTACACTTTTTAATACTGTAGCAAATACTTGTTGTCGGGCACAAAGCAGGCTGTATACGGCAGGTTTGTTGACAGCGGACACCTTGCCCTAGACAAGTTCCCCTATCGACTTTTATAAACTAAACCACGACCGTTGTACTATAACGTCGGGTACTGACGTATGTACCACGATACAAACTCGCTCTACCTTATATTACAACTAATCTTATATATCGATATCTGCCATATACATAACTATATATTAGACATTAGTAAGCTTTAAGGGAGTGAGCAGCAGAACCGCCGCAGTTTGTTGCAAAATCTACAATGCGTGTATATATATATATATGTACTTAGTGTAAATACCTCTCATGAGGTGACTACACTATGATAAAAAAAAATATACGTATATATACTTTGCAACAAATAATGAGTGGAATCCTGTGTCAATCTTATGGATCGTGATAGCCAATCAGATACTGTCCCGCGTTCTGCTGCTCACTCCCTTGAAGCTTACTTATACACATATTTATAATAATATACATGCATAAGACCAACCAGTATAAACAAATTGATAGCACTTATACATTCATTAAAATAAATTCATTATCATAAGCACTCCAACATATTCATTCCCATTTAGACACGCAGTTGTAAAAAAAGCGATTTTACAATTTTTTTTTGCAGTTTGAGTTGCTGCAATCCAATAAAATTAAAGATCCCTTCAATATTCTAGTCCTGCATCAAAACAGATCGCAGCATGGTCAAAATTCATTTGTACCTGAAGACAGATTACCCAAGTTTTTAAATTTAGTTTTGTGGGGACATGAACATGAATGTGTTATAGCGCCAAAAGAATCTAATTCAAATTCCGGAATTTTTATCAGCCAGCCAGGTAAAAGTTTTTTATGTTTTTGGTAAGTGAGTCGAACTGTGAGCTTAAAACAGAGTTAATATTGCAGGAAGTTCTGTTGCAACATCATTAACTTATGGAGAATCGAAACCAAAAAACATTGGAATTTTAAGTATATACAAAAACAGTTTTAAAATGGAAGCCTTACCACTCAAAACTGTTAGAGTGTTTGTGTTTGAAGATTTGATTTTGAATGAACACTGTGATGAAATTACAAAGTACAAGTGTCGTTCTGAAGCTTTGGAAGAATTTGTGGATACTTACATAGAAAACATTCTTATGGATCAAGCTGCTAAACAGCAGTCAGGTTTGATTGTTGCTTGGAAATTTTTGTTCTAATTAACAAAGTGCTTAGAAGTTAAGAGTACATAACATTTCAGGCCATTTGAAACAACCTGCCAAGCCTTTAATAAGATTAAGAATTTTTTACAGTGAAGACAGAGACGTATTTGACACCTTGAAGTACGGCACTTATTTTTATTAATTATTTATCATTTTAACCCTTAACATATTCGCATAGATGCTTTTGATGTATGTGTGTGTGCTTGTGTATTTAAGTGTTGATCTTGGATGAATGTTTTCAAAGTTAAAAATATTGTTGTATGTGAAATTCATGAAAGCATACACCGATTAAGTAAATTAAACTACGAAGTTTATTTGCGACCAATGTGAAGCGTATTAGAGTAAAAAAAAGCTCTTGAATGTTAACAAACATTTAATTATTCAGATAAGTACACTAGAGGCAGTTTAATTCGTTGAGCGGAAAATTCAAATATTTGATTCCAATTGGCTGATTCCATCACATAACCTCCTTCATTAGTAAATTTTATACTTCCCGCTCAACGAATTAAACTGCCTCCAGCAAGTGTACAAGCAAATAACAATTATGAAGCTCTCACATATGTTCTTCAGACATCTAGGTTTTTCAGATAGATATTGTCAAAACTTTTAACGTTTATTCGTAATACTATAAAAGTTTTCCGCTCAAAATTTTAGATCGTTATTTTGAACCATTTTTATACATTGAATTAAAAAAAAAAATCTTGATTACACATGCAACCATGTGGAAAAAACACGTCGAATTTCTTGTATAAGAAAATGATCTGCAGAAATTTTTTTGTTTTTATGATAAAATACAATTAGATAAACAATATATTAAATTTTTTTAAATATCCATATGTTGGTTGTTAAATAAAACTATTAGGTAGGGATCGAGTATGCGTGACGGCGCATGTATAGTGATAGTTATATCCATATTAGCAAAGCATTGCCAGCCTATGAAGAAGAATCATGAGCAAGCTCAACCGCCAGAGCGCAGCAGGACAAGATGCTACCTAGAGATATGCTAGCATTGCTACATCTCATGTTTGCGTTTCCCTCGCCTCTGTCTAAACTTTGCTCCCCATAACTATGATGAATCTCCTTATCGAAGACTGAGTAGAGCGCTGCGGTGAATGGACAGTGCATTATTGCGTGCTTCTGGCTTCAACACCCACTAGTAGGATAGAATTAGCTTTTTGAAAAAAAAAAAAAAAATTGCTATCAGCGCGAAAAAAATCATAATGGTAAGAATTCGGTTTCTGAAAAAATCTAAATAGTTTAAGACTTCAAATTACGTCAGCTAACGGTCCAAAAAAATGGTACGTATGGTCAAAAATGGTTTTTTGCGTCTAAAAAAAAAACTGGAGAGTCGGACAAAAAAGTTGTACTGTTGGAAAAGATGCGCAATATCAAGACGAAGAAAATGAGCTCCAGTGAAATAAAATTGACCTAGCCGTTTTTTCGCAATTTGCCAAAAAGTGTTCTTTTGGACCGTTTTTATTTTTATTTCATAACTCACTGACATAATTTGGAGTCTGAAACAATTAAGATTTGTTCAGGAACTGAATAACTACCACCACTATTTTTTTCGCATTAATAGCAAGTTTTTAAAATCAACCATGCTAGATTGCTAATTCTATTCAACTACACCTATCATATGATTAAACGGTTGCATATATAAGTAATTTTACAAAAAAAAACCACCTCTAAAGTGACCTGTGTAATATAGTCAGGGTAAGGACGGTCAATAATCCAAAGCATGCTTACAATTACTAAAAAAACATTTATCAGGTGAACAGTATAAAATAAGAAGAGGTTGCTGATACAGTGATACAGAGACTCGTGCGTTCGCTTATACATGCACGGAGAAATAGTGGAGAGACTGGCAGCGCCCATCACAATAGAGCGGCTCTACTAAGTACTTGGTGTTCGCGCTCTTTCACTTTTGCGAGACTGGGTCTCCCAAAACATGAAATAGCGGTTTAGTCCATGGCCCGAAGGATTATTTTATCTTATGTTTTCAAGTAGAAAAAAAATTGGACATTCACCTTCAGACTTTTCCCAGGAGTACGGGAAAAATAGTTTTGTCCAAATCAGTCGTTGGCTTCATTTGTTTATTTAAAAATTTACTTAAAAAATGCCAATTTTTTATTTACATTTTTGCTTGTATCTCCGCTTTTATTGCTCTTATAGAAAGTTTTCGACTACCACTGTTTTCTTATCAAATTTTCGATGGAATAGATACTTTTGCAAATGCATTATTAATTGGTAATTACATTTTAAGGTCGAAAAAGTGCGATTAAAAATTTTTTATACTGAAAACTTTGGATCGACGTAGGAAAAAAATTATCTTGTCAATTTGAATGTTACCATAAAAAAATATAGATATAAAATTGAACAACAAAAAGCTGTTTGTAAAATTGCAAAATAATTATTAGTTTTTTGGTAATTAATTATCTAAAGTAAGTCTAATTACAAACTTCACTGATGGTTTATCGACATTTTGTTACGGTAAAAACGTTATATTTGATATAATTAATAATCACAGCAAAAAAAAATTTTAATTTAATCAATTTTGACGTTTTTTCGCGAAAAATTGTATTTTGCAACTTGAGAAATTGCACATATCTCAGTAAAGTTTGCATATTTTTATTTGCAACAAACAGCATTGAATTTATTATAACAAAATACAAATTAAAAAAAAAGGAATGCTCCAGCTTACTCTAAAGCTGAGACATAAGAAATTGACGTTTTTTGCAATAACGGACTAACAACTAAGTTTTTTATTGCAAAAAATTTTTCGTATCATCTTCATGTACATCTGCATCATAGTGCCAGAGCACTTTATTAATTTCAATGAAAGGAAAGCAAAAAAAAATTAAGAATGTCGCATTGTAACAACCGGCGGCAGCTCAGCGCTCCCATCTGTACCCCTCCCTTGTGACTAGGTGACCGACCGGTTGTAGTGCGTATGTAGTTAGAGCAATGATGCGTAATTATAGCACCAGCAAAATAACCGGATGACACTTGGTAACATTGCAGCAGAAGCGATTTCCAACCTTGCGTCCTTTAAAACTAATGCTCCCCATTCATCGAGAACCGAGATATGGGGCAATGAAACAAAAGTTTTTTTTTGCTTGTTAACCGAACCAACCTACGATTAACAGAAAGCTTACACCTAACGTATATCGCACAATTTTCGCCAGCTGAAACGTACCGGCTGATTTAAAACATGGAATTATTAAAAAAAAAATTACGTATCATTGCTTTAACTAATGGGGGGAAAACACGGGCTGTGGCTGGCGTTTAAATTTAAATTAGTTGTCGTACATAATTGAACAGTTACAAACATAGTATTATACATTGAACATGCTCAATTGAAAAATTTAATACAAAAACGGATTGTAAAAAAATTAATTTTTTAAAATTTTTGTAGGGGAAGACTGGGTACGGTTGTGCCAATTGGTACTTGAGAGCCCATAACTTCAAAAGTATGACACTCATTGGAATGAAAATGGCTGGTCATGATAAATTGAAAACTCCTCTACATGTGTGTATAAAAATTATGACTACAGGTACAGCCGTTTACACGCACGAGTTGTTAAAAAAAAAAAAAATAATGTCACAACCGACCACACCCCAGGGGCGGTTGTGACAATGCCTGGGGACGGTTGTGACAGGTTAAAAAAATTCATTAAAACTGTTTTAAATCCTTTTTATTGTATCTTATGTTTAACATAATGTAACCGCACGTTCTTTTTGGAAAATTTAACATTAATTTTCAATTAAAGGCATAAAATTTGGAACATTGTATGCTTTATATCTACTTTTAAGCAGTATAATTTATTATTATAGATTTTACATACCCAAAGTATATATCCGCGCAAGGTATAGTAGGTATTTTGAGAACTGTTATTCTTGCTCCTTGAAAAAGACTTTGTTGTGAGCTACGTAACCTATACTGACGCTGTCTCCGTCATTGCTGTTTGCATTGGCTACATAACGTATACGTACGTATCGCAACAATGTCATGTGATTTGTTTGGTGCATTTCTGCAGCTTTTCGTATAGAAATTCCCTGCTTTGTATCATCATATGTCTTTCAACATCACACGCACCTCTTTCCGTTCTTCTGGTACGTTCACGAGGCATCTGAAAGGAAAAAAACTAATTTTACTTGTGTCACAATCGTTCCCACCGCACTTATTCGAAAAAAAATTACCACATAAACACAACATAGCTTACATGAAAAGTAACCACTGCTTTTTGTGCACTGTGTAGGTATCTTATAACAAGGAAAAATACCCACTGCTCAATCTGTACATGTACAGCGATAATTGCAAAAAAATTTAATGAAAATACTTACATTTCACTCCCCAAAAGTAATGTAGGCCTCTGATGTCGTTGATATCACACGACAGCTGATGCTATACTGTGAAGCACAAGTGGCCCAGCACTCAACTCCTTCGCCCTCTTGTATTTGGCGGTTCTCTCTTACAGTTTCGGCAATATGACCACTGTCACAACCATCCTTTGGCACAACCGTACCCAGTCTCCCCCTATGCATTAAATTACAGATATTTTTGATACACTAAAATGTAGCTTTTTTTGATGATTTATTTACGCAATAACTATCATCTGTCTTACTATCTGTCGCACCATCTATCATTGCATAAATACAGTCGTCATCGTCCACAATCTCTTGCATTGGATCGGAATAAGTTTCTTTGTCCATTCTGTCCGGTATTTCGTCCGTGAAAATAAATGAAAAAAAATTAAATAAGTGTTCTTTAAAATGTTTATTGCATTACAATAATCGAAATCTTTAGTTTCAGTGTATCAGTTTTTTTTCTGTCATTTAATGTAAGTATACTCTGTTAAGAAAAAAATGTATTTTAAGTATACAATGCTTTAAACACTGCATAATCAAATAGTTTAATACAATATACTTTGTTTTTAAGGTAGGACCTCCGCCTAAATCTGGGGTACAAGACTTATGTAATTAAGTAGACAAAGACCCGCTGAATCCAATGGTACCTTCAGTTGTGCCCGATGACGGACAAAATCTCGAGATATTAAAGATCAAAGTTCGAATGTTTTATACAGGCGCATACAAAAAACGGGAAAAAAGTGACGTAATCA